TAACAAGGCAGTGGCCTTCCCAGCCGGCAGGTGGCAGCACTGCCCATGCACAGCCACCCAATCAGAGGCATGTGGCATGTCCATAAGCCCCAGATGACATCATTACTTGTTTTCCTGCTACTGAAGTCTCAGCTGTGAAGTTCTGCGCATTGCGCATTAGCATTTTACAAAGTGGGTGGGCCCCACTATTGACATGTGTCTCTGGTAGCCATGTGGGTCAGGGGGCCACGTATGTGCCAAACGGGAGACCAGGGAGGCCCCCGGCGCTGCCAGATCCTGGAGGCGCCCACACCAGCCCCCAGTCGGAGCCCGTGCGGGGCGTGTAGGGTATTCCGGCTCCCGGGTGGGAGTTCACCTTCCAAACACAGCCATGGGCGGTGGCTGGGCTGTTTCCCAGGCCTCTCCAACCTCCACAGAGCTGGTTAGGGCTCAGGGGCCCAGGGATGCAGGCCAGGCTCCCTGCTCTCTGTCGTGTGTGCTCGGAGGGTGTGCGGTGAGTCGCGACAGAGCAGAGGCCACTCACACAAAGCCACGGCTTTCCCTGCTGACAGGGTGTGGGCCTTGCGGATGCAGGGGGCAGCCGTCCAGCACCTGGGTCTGAAAGCTCAAGAACAGGAAGGACGGCCTCGCTCTGTCACCTGGGTTGGAGTGCTGTGGTGTCATCGTAGCTCACTGCAGCCTCAGACTCTTGGGCTCAAGTGATCCTCCTGCCTCGGCCTCCCAAAATGCTGAGATTACAGGCATGAGCCAGCACTCTTGGCCAAGACTGAGCTGTTTTAGTAACTTTCTACACGTCCTGCAGCCGAGCAGGGGAATGGTTTTGCTCTGCCTTCCACCTGCCACTTGCCTCGTTCAGCCTGGGGGCCGAGGTGGTCTCTCTGCCACTGGCCAGGCACGGCGACATCCGTGTGCTCCAGCAGGAAGGGCCGGCCTCCAAGATGGGCTTCCCTTGGTTGAATGGGAGCCGGGAGGAGGCTGGGGGACGTCAGGTTAAGTTTGGGGACCAGGAGAGCTTGGCAAGGGTGCTGCCTGGGACTGGCGCGTCTGTCCTGGTTGGCATGGCAGGAGGGGCGAGGGTGGGCACACGTCTCTTTGTCTCTGAGACGTGCCAGGGCTGCACTGCACCAGGCACGTCCCCCGGGAGAGCTCCGCGGCCCCGAGGCTCAGCTCCGGCAGAGGCTCTGTCTGCACCTGCACGTGGGTGCTGCAGACGTGGCCCGCAGGGCGCTGTGCCCAGGACAGGGCACCTCCCCTGTGCCGCCGTCTCCTGTCTGGGCCGGGGGCTCCCCAAGAACAGGCACTGACCTGCTGCTTCACAGCTCGCATTAGTTTCCTGTGGCTGTCGCGACAGATGACCACAGACGGCGTGGCTAAAACCACAGAAACTGATCCCCCACGTTCCGGAGGCGGGAAGTGTGAGATCGCGGTGCCAGCAGGGTCGGTTCCTTCTGAAAGCTCCGAGGGAGAATCTGTCCCAGGCCCTTCTCCCGGTCTCTGGTGGCTCCTGGCAATCCTTGGCACTCCTCCCCTGGGGAAGCATCACCCCGACCTCTGCTCCACCTGCACACAGGCTGCTCCCAAGTCTCCCTCTCCGTCCTCGCACAAGGACACCTGTCCCTGGATGTAGGCCCGCCCGGGTAATGCGGGATGATCTCATCTGGAGGTCCTTCACTCATTATGTCTGCAAAGACCCTTTTCCCAAATAAGTTCACATTCCAGGTATTGGGGGTCAGGACATGGACCTGTCTTTTTGGGGGACCCTCTTCAACACATACATGGCTGTGTCCCCAACACCTGGCACCGTTGTGTGAACACGTGCGGATTTCTGCTCCGAGGGCCAGCAGGTGAGGTAAAGCACCTTCGCTCCGTCCTTGGTGCTGCCCCAGGGTGCAGGGCAGGGCTGGGGGAGGGGGAGGGCCCACGTGTTCAGATGCCGCTTGGTCACAAGAACCGGCAGGTTGCTGGTCCAAATGCGGAGCAGGAACCAGCTTCCGAGGCCACTGTGCTGTGCCCACTGCACCCACGAGGTCCCCGAGGCACAGGAAGGTGTGGGGGCTCACCCAGGCCAGCGGCCAGCCGAGACGGGCTGGGCTGTGACCCGGGTCACGCTCCGGGCCGTGTCACACAGCCCCCTTTAAGTTTGCCATAGATTGGTCCTTTCATCTTAGTTTCTCTTCTGGGGCAAATCTGGAGGTTTAGAATGAACTTCAGCCGCGCGAAGACTTCTCGAGGAACCAGTTAGGACTTTGGCGCAGGGTTCAGGTGTGATCGATGCTTTGCTGTCTCGAGAACATCCCCTGTCCCTGCTGTCGCAGAGCGATGCTGGATTTTAGGATTGTCCCACAGTGGGCGCGTGGCAGGAGTCGGTTAGGTGCCATCGTGCAGAGTGACCTCAAAGGCTGCCGCGGGCCCTGTGCACCGAGAGGCTGAAAACACCTGCGGCATTAATTCATTCGCGCCGTCTCCTGATGGGAGAAGTGTCTGTAAAAATTCAGACAGGATGCTGGATTTTTTCTTGGATTGACAGACAGACGTGTTAGTTCAGGGAGCTTCAAAGGATGTTTTGAATTCCCCTGTGTGGGTCCCCCTCCCCTCTCAGAGGGGTCCGAGTTGGCTGGAAGGGGAGGCCGCCCAGCAGCCAGCGCCCTGGGGGTGGAGCAGTGTGCTTGGCGCATTAGCGCCGGGAATTATCCGCCAAGCCCGTGGTTTGGGTCCTCTTCCCTCCTATGTTGCTTTCCTCGGTCCAAAGGCGGTTTTTATTATCTCCGGCAGAGAATGAGACAAGAACATTGAAAAGTAGTGTCCTTTAATAATGCATTTCCGGCGAGCTAGGGCCATTGTTTGCCGGGTGTGAAAATGGAAGCGTGTCTATTCCTCACGTCTGTTTGGGGCAAGGCTCCCAACCGAGCCGATTCCGTGTGTGACCCAGGAGTGGTGACCTGGGGGTCCCTCCAGGCCGGATGAAGAAGGGAGGGGAGGGCTGAGACCCCTGGGCAGGGAGGTGTGTGTGGTGGGGGGCCAGAGCCACAGTTGATGCCGTGGCTCCCCCACCAGGCACCACGGGCGGGGGCCTCTTCCGGGCCTGGGTGTGGGGGTCAGACACCTCACGAACGCTCAGGATTGTGACGACCAGATCGTATCTGTACCTTGGAAGTGGAGTCAGCAAGGCCTAAAGGTGGAATCAGGATGTTTGGCTACAGTTTCGCTCAAGGCTTTTGGGACGGGAATTGGGGCTGGGACCAGAACCCAAGCTGGGCCACGGGCCCGTCCTGAGCTGCAGCTGTCACCAATGGGCATCTAAAGCCATGGGATGCTGGCCCTTGGGAAGAGGACAATGCGGAGGCCCGATGGGTCTGGTGTGGGGGCTGGCGGGTCCTAACACCCATGTCCCGCACCGGGGGCTATGCTCCCTCTCTCTCCTGCCGCTCCTTCGGCCGGTCGGAAAGTGCACCTCCTGCTGCGGTCCCTGCCCTTCCCAGGGTGTGCTTTCCCTGAGGATGCCAGTTCCTCTGAAATTAAAGCATATGTTTGAGGCAATTGCAATTAAAGATCCAATGCAACTTTGAAGGTACTGGGTAAAGCAACCCCAGAACTCCCTTGCAAGAACGATGGCCGAGAATCACCCACATAATTGGTGTCTTGGGAGCAGCAGGAGTGCTGGGGAGGCCCTGCGGTGCCGTCGCTGAAGTGTGGCGCGAGCACGGTACCATCAGCATCGCCACGAAGGTGCTTGCGTCTCGCTCCAGTGGTGCAAGGAACATAGTGAGACTATGTGGGGTTGAAGTAAGAACCGGAACCGGTGGGGACATCCGGAGACAGATCCCGTTGGTGATTGGCCCGGTTGAGATGTGGTCTCACAGCAGGGGAAGCAGGCTGGCCGTGAACCTGGACGGCCGGTAACTAGTCAGATCCTCCCTAACAGCACACTGCAGGGTCAATTCTGTATGAAACAAATAAATGCAACATTTCAATAAACAAGAAAGAATAAAACATTAGTGAACTGTCTAAGCTAAGCGCCCATTATGAAAATGGACAAAGATGGGTAGCTCTTGGAGAATATTTACTGTGCTGTTTAGTTGATTACTGTAAAAGAAAACTTGTTTATTGTGAGTTAAACCCACACGTAGAAGTGTACTGAACAACACATTCGTATGGTCTGATTGCTTTTTTCAAATATGAAGTCTAAGCACCCTCTTCCGTGGCTGGTCGGTCACGTGTGCAAAAAGACATACTTCCCATTTAGATGCCCGGCTGCTGCTCCTGCCCTTGGGAGCCAGGCTGGGCAGAGGCAATGGGCTTAGGGGTGCAGGGGGTGAGATTTAGGCAGGGGGCCTGCCCGCCTGCACCTGCCTGTGTGAGGGGCTTTGCTTTGAGAGGGGCTCTGTGTGCGGCTGGAGGGATGGCCATGGGTCGCCCCAGGGGGTCCCACCCACCACTGTGGAGGGTGTGGGGACGGCTGTGCACGCCGGGGGGCAGGGTAGGTGTCCTAAGCCACAGCGAATTCCAGGAGGAAGCACCTGTCCTCCTCCGCCTGCCTGCTCACCCCGCACCTGCCTAGAACTCTTCACCCGGCAGCTGGTCTCAGTGCCGGCGCAGAGGGGCTCAGGGGGGCACAACCCCGGAGTCCCGTGAAGCTTGTGCCTCAGGGGTTCTTAAGGTGGAGGCCGGGAGTGGGGCCGGGAAATGCACACACGGGGCACATAGTTTTGTAAAATTAGCAAAATAACTTACTTTGTGTTGCTTTTCTTCCACAGGGGCCCTGATTTTATGTTTCACACAAAAACCTGGATCCTCCCCTGGCCAGAGTCCGCCTTTCTAACCCACGGGATCCATCCAAATTCTTTCCTTCTTCCTCAGATAAGCGGAGAATTTTCTGTAACAATGAGTCATCCCGGGGGCAGGATGGAGTTCAGCAGAGAAGGGTGAACTCTTTGAAGGTGTTAATCCCGTCACTCAGAGCACACTGGCTGGCTCTGGAAGAGGAAGGACAAGATGCGGAGATGGGGAAACCAGTGCAGGTGCCCGGGGCGAGGAGACACTCACAAATTTGCGCCAATACCCGCGGACGGGTCCGAGCTGAGGTGGGGCAGTAGGTTCTCTGGGGAGACCAGTGCGTGAGGGTGGACCGGGAGGAAGGTGGGCCTGGAGTCTCAGCTTGGGCTGGGCCCTGCGCTGTGATCCCAAGGAGGGGCGGACAGTAGAGTTTGCAGCCTCAGCAAGCCGGGCACCAACCTGGCTTTGGCGTTCCAGGTGACAGTGGCCTTACCCCACGGGACGTCTGGCTGTTCTGTGCCTTTCAGTGATTCCTCTGACTCACAAGCTGCCCAGTACAGGGCTAAGCAGAGGGCCCGGAGCCAGGCCTGTGCTCAGTCCCAGATCTGCAGTTTACAAGTGGGGTAACCTGGGGTGCCCCCCGTAAAGCAAGAATAATGCAGGCTGGCCTGACAGAGACCTCCCCCTAAAATGACTGTGACCCTCCAGGCAGAGTGGAGGGCACAGATAGCCTGTGTGTCTTGGGGGGTGCCCCGTCACATCTGGACACTTCCCAAGCCCCTCCCAGCCAGGGGCTCCCTCCAGTGCTGTTGGGAGCAGGGGAGCCTTCTTCACTCAGGCCGTGTGCAGTGGCCGGGGGTGGGGGGTGGGGGCTGTGCCATGGGGCTGATGGCCGGCGCTCTCTCCAGCTGGGGCAGGCAGGGGCTCCCCTCTACATGGCTAATGCAGGGCCGACTCTTGGCCCCCATCTGGTCCCACCTGGACTGGGCCTCTCTCTGCACTTCCAGAAAGGCTACTTCTGAGTGGCTGGTGAGGACCCCAGGGACCCCTCATCCAGCCCCTGGACCAGACCTGGACCCTGACCCTGGAGCAAGTCAATTCCGAGCCAGAAGCTTGTCCAGACACTGGCCCTTGTTGGTGCCTCCGGGCCTGCAGGGCACCCCTCCCCAGTCTGTGGCTGGTGGGACTCCCACACCCACCCACTCCAGGCTGCTGTCCAACAGCACTCTGCACAGAAATAAAAATAAAAATGCCCAGGAGGTGGTTGGCGACCAACAATGTTGGTGCCAAGAAGGGGGCTGCAGAGGCTGCCCCCCTTCTGGCCCATCCTGCCCCCAAGCCCAGCCTAGGGAGGGAGGGGACGAGGTGCCAGGGGTGACGGTGGACGAGCCCAGGCTAGCTTCCCTGTGGGACTTGAGAAGGAAGGCTGAGGACTGTCCCCCAGGTCCAGGACTGGCGTGTGTCCCGCTGAGAGCTGCCTGTTAGGGGTGCACAGGCCCTGTCCCTGGAACTCGGCCCCGCCTGGGGTGATCGCTCGGGTTGGTCGGGACCTGGGACTTTCAGCCTGAAATGAGCCGGCCTCGCCGAGTCTGGGGGTGGGGGGTGGACACGGGGAAGGTGGTGGGTGAGACCGGGAGCCGGGGCAGGGCCGGGAGCCGGGGCGGGGCTGGAAGCGGGGGACTTGGCTGGAGTGCGGGGTCTGGACGCGACCGGAGAGGAGCCGGGGGCCGGGCGCTGCGAGGAGAAGGCGGGGCCGAGGGCGTGTCGGGGGCGGGGCCGGGGCTGGGGTCCGGGCTGGGGGCGTGCCGGGGGCGGGGCGGCCTCTCCGGCTCCCCGCGCTCACCGCCCCCAGCGAGTGTCCCGCCGGCTGGAGCCAGGCGCGCAGGTCTCGGCTCCGCCACTTCGGGCGCAGGCGGGAGGCCCGGCCCTCCGCACCTGCAGCGATCTCGGGCACCTGTGGCTGCACCCCGTGCGCTTCCCCGCCATGGTGCGCGAGGAGGCGGAGGCTCCGCGGGGCCGCTGGGGCCGCCTGTGAGCCGGGGCCGGAGCAGGGACCCGGCGCGGGGCCGTGCGCGATGCCTGTCCGGGCGGAGGCGAGGGCGGCGGGGCGCGCGGTGTCTCTGGCGCTGCTGCTGCTGCTGCTGCTCCCCGCCGTGCCGGCCCGCGCGCCGCTGCCCCCGCTGCAGCCCAGCATGTGAGTAGGGGAGCTGGGAGGGCTCGGCGGGGCGTGGAGCCCCTGGCCCCTGGGCGGCCGCAGGGACCCGGCTCGAGGCTTTGTCCCCTGGAGCCCAGAACAATGGGCTCTTTGCTTTAACTGGGGAGGGGGTGGCTGGGACACAGGGTTCCAGGGTTGGGTCTGGGGCCCCTCTGCGGCGGGGGCCCCTAGCCTCCTCTCCGCGTCCTCTCCCCCTCCTCTGCTCTGCGATGTGGGTGGGTCTTGCAGGCTCAGGCAGATGCTGCACTTGGGGAGAGGTGAGGAATCCGGGCCCCTTTCCGGGCAGGGTCTGGGAGGAGGCAGAGGGAGCAGCGTGTTCCCACTTCCCTCCCCAGCCTGCCAGGGTCGGGGGGCCTTCGCAGGGCGGGCTGTGCCCAGACAGGGAGCAGGACGGAGTTGGTCTGTGTGTTCCACACGTGCGCTCTGGGCTGTGAGAGAGGGAATTTGGTGCCAGAATGGGCAGGAAGAGAGGGTCAGGGCGCCAGCCGAGATGCATTTCATTTTGAAAGATGATTCCCCAATGGGGCCGTTTAGCGGTCTCTCTCAAACAGCAAACCAGCTCTGTGTTGCCTCAAAGGAAAACTGGAGTGGAGGAGGAGGAAGAGTAGGGAGCCTGCCGGTGTAGTGCAAAGGCCCCAAGGCCCCGGCTGGGCCTCCTGTCTGACAGCCCCGCCCCCACTCGGGGGCCACCAGAGGGGTTCTCAGGCCCCTCCTGTCCAGCACTGCCCCAAAGGACCTGGCGCTGAAGGTCCCCAGCCACCTACCTGGCCATGCAGGACAGAGCTGCAGCTCCCTGGGAACTAAGAGGGCAAGCTTCCACCTGGCCTGGGGGGGAGTCTGCACCCCCAGGACCCCCACTCTGGGTCTCACTGTACTCCAAGAAGGAAGATTTCTTTGTGGCCTTTTCAAAGGAGTGCTGTCCCTGGGTTGGGGCCTTTGCATCCAGCAATGTGAGCAGCCTGAGTCTCGACTCCACATGACTTTTTCCGGACATTCCTCTGTCCTGCGATCCCAAGGAGTTTGTTGGAGGGGCACTGAAGCTCAGAAGGGACACCGCTGGCCGTGGGCTTCCAGGGGCGCAGGCATCCTGGAGTCCGAGGGGTGGGCAGATGCTCAGCAGAGGTGGATGGATGTCTGCTGAGAGAGGCCTCTGCCCCCAGCGCGCTGTGGAAACCGAGGGCCCTTCCTGGCCCCCTACCAAACTGGCCCAGCTGCCAGGGTCTCTGTGAGTGGAGCCGGCGGTCTCTTTCCTTGTGTTCTGCCTGTGCACCCGGGGCCCTGGACGCCCTTAGGGAACCAGTGGGAATGGATGGTGTGAGAGAGTCTTTTCATGCTTCCTGCTTTTCCCAAAGCCTCGCTGCCTTCCTTTCTCCCTGCCCTTCATGGCCTGGGCCCCTCCTGGGGCTCCCCTCCTGCGCTGAAGTGGCAGCTGCCCATCTGGGGCTGTGGCCCCTTGTGTCTTGGCTCACGGTGTATCTACCTGGGGCCTCTACTCTGCTGGCCCCACACCTGTGAGTCTGAGTTCCACAACGGCCGCAGGTGCATCATCCGCAGACCCTTTGTCTGGTGAACAAGCACCTGGCACGTGCCTGGACACGCAGTACCAGGCACGCAGTAGGGCCGCAGTGGGCAGAGGCTGTTCTGAGCAGGGAGGAGGTGGCGCCGTGGGTGGGAGAGGTGCCGGAGTTGCTGTTGCTCCCCGCACCCCAGAGGAGCAGGCGAGGGTCCTGGGACGTGCTTGGTCCTTGCGGGTCCTTGTCCACCCTTCCCTTCCAGAGATCTGATGAGCCTGCAGGGCCTGGCTCAGGGCAGCCGCAGCCCTGCTGGTGGTTTTCCTGAACTGTTAGCTGCGAGTTTAAACAATGCTGATCTCCTGTGAGTGCTAGAAGTCGGGGCCTTGGGGGGAGCCTGGGGGTGTGATGGGGGTGTCCCACTGGCTCGCAGCCCAGATGCCCTGAGGACCTTCATGAATCTGCCAAGGCGATGCGGATGGTTCTTTGGCCCTCGCTGGTGGGGCGCATGTCCAGATTCAGCGCTGTCCCTGGAGTAGGCAAAGCTTCGCCATCTCTTTATTTCTGCCTCTGAAGTGAATTGCTGCTGCCGTTGGAAGAATGGCCTGCCTTTCTGTCCTGGGGCCTGGGCCGTCTGCTGACCACATGCGGGGCCGGCCCAAGGCAGCTGGCCGGGCTTCCAGGAGCGGGTCTGGGACAAGGAGACAGATTGCCCATGTGCTGACGCGCTGACTTGCCGGGCTCGGACATTTCGGAGGAGATGTGTCTGCTTCATGGCACTGAGCTTGCGGCTGTGCTGAGAAACGGCCTGTGCTTTGCGATCAGCAAATTATATTGAGGGCTCTCCCCACCCCCCAGGCAGGCCGGGCCCCTCCACACTCAAGTCCTGTCTTGCAAGTAGCTCTGTGGACCCACTGGCCTGGGGGCTGAAACGGCCCCTTTCTGTGAGCCTGAGGCATCCTCTGGGGCTTTCAGAGGCTGCTCAACACCACCTAGTCAGAGAGTGGAACTGAGCTTTGAGCGGCCCGTAGGCAGCTGTCCTGAGGCTCCCCTTCGAGCAGGGCCCTGCCTCCCGCCTGTCCTGGGTGTCGAGGCCTCGAGGTGCAGGGGGCGGGGCAGGAGCCCCCACCATAGCCCACTGCTGCGCGTGTGCATGGCACTGCAGGCAAAGTCCCCTTTAGTGGGAGGCACTCAGGGTCCGGGAGTCACAGCCTCCAGCGGTCTGCCCTGCCGCAGTGTCAGGGGGCCCCAGGGCAGGGACTGGGCTCCCCCCATGCTGGCTGCGCCCAGGCCTGGATGTTTGGACACGATCCTGGGGGTAAAAATGGAGCCTTTAGAAGGAAACAGTCCTGAGCAAACCGCCCTTGTCCCTGCGGTGTGTCCGGGGCTGTCATCAGCCAGGCTTGGGAGCCAGTGAGGCTGGCTGGGTCCTCCTCACCCTGGGGCCCAGGATAACTGCCCACCCTCCAGGAGCCCAGCTCTGCAGGGAGCAGATGGCCCAACAGCAGGGACGGGTCGCCCTCTGGCCACTCTGGGTCCACTTGGTGGTTTGGGCATTTTCATTCCTCCCCCGGCCGGGGAGCAGGATCCAGCCGCAAGGGACAGAACGGCCTGTGACTGTGACCCTGCCAGAGACTGGGGAAGTACCTTACTGGGTTCTCCTGGACCCACGTGGGGCTGTGGTCAGGTTTCTTTCTGTCCCCTCCTCTGCCCGCCGTCCCCCAACGCAACCCGCCCACCCCCCAAAACAGAAAGCAACCAAAGCCAAGCCGGGCCGCCGAAAAGCGGTCCCGCCCCCCCCCTCCTGCCCTGGACACCGATAGACGGTCGTCAGTGTTGCTGGGCTCAGGCAAGGGCCGTGGTGGGCCGAGTGCGCCCGGGGCCGGTTGCAGGACGTGGGGAGAGTGGGGCAGCCATGCCTGGCTCGCCGAGGTCCACGCCAACTGTGGTTGGAGCCAGAGGCCCTCTGGGCATGGCAGGGGCGCTCCTGCTCTGGGGAGAGCCCTGGTGAGGGAGGAGCTCCTGGGGAGATGCAGGGCGGGCCAGGCGGGCGGGGCCCAGAGAGTGACTGGAGAGAATGTGCCGTAAAGGCTGCAGGGAGCCCCAGTTGGGGTGCACAAGGGGTCTTGAGGAGTCCTTCCCCATTGTCATCTCATGGGTTAGCGGCAGCCGAGGTCGCTGAGGTTTGAGGAGGGACAAGGAGGCCCTTCGGGGAGGGCCCCCAGCCCTACCCCATCTCCTGCCACGCCCCGACATGGCCAAGGGCCAGGTGGGACATTCCTCCTCCCGCCGGCCCTGCAGCTGGACCACTGCCCGGCTCCTCTGCCTCCTGCAGCACCCACTCCCCTGGGACGATGAAGCCCTGCGCTCGGTGGCAGCGTCCTGTGTCCCGGGCTGGAGTCAGCAGGAGGGAATGGCCTTGACCCTCGGGCAGGGGACGTGGGGCCCATGCCAGCTCCTGACACGTGTGGCCTCATCGTGGGCGCCCAGGAGCCCTGGAGGCCTGTGCTGTCCTCATGCCTACGTTCCAGGTGCTGGGCGGGCTCACGGAGAGGGCCGCGGGCTCCTCCCCAGCCCTGGCTTATCTGTTGAAAGCCACACGCATGGCTCACTGGGCAGCTGCCAGACTCAGGGGCCAGAGCCCTGGAGCTCGGAGGCCCGGGGTCATCGGTCTCACTCCCCTCCCCCTCCCCTCTTCATGGCCAGGAGTGGCCTGCGCTTGCCTAGGGGCTCTTGGTGAGTGCGTTGCAAGGCACAGGGCTGGGCAAAAGCAAGACAACGCCTGTAGCCGTTCATCTGGGCGCAGTTTGGATTCACAAATGATCATCTTCTCTGAGCAGATACACACCCATTTTGCCGCTGGGTCCCCTGCGCCGACCGCAACCCTGGCCCACACCTCCCAGGGCTCACTCAGCCCCCACAGCAGCCTGGCGGGTCAGTCCTTGTTCCACAGGAGTGGAAACTGAGGCAGAGATTCCGTAACCTGCCATCTTGCAGACGGTGGCTGGGGAGCGAGGTTCAAGCCCAGGCTCTGGCACCGGGAACCTTGCTGCCAACTCTAGCCCAGAAGCTCTGGAACTCGAGCTGCATCAGAATCCCCCCGGGGCTTGTTAAAAACAAGTCATTGCTGAATCCCTAGGGAACGCTGGGTCCCACCCCCAGAGTTCCAGATTCACCGGGTCCGGTGCGTGGGCCCAGGAATGTGTATTTCTGTCAAGTTCCCAGGAAAGGCTGCTTGCTGGTTCTGGCCTGGGGACCCCACTTTGAGAACCACTGCAGGATGCTACGTGGCCACAGAACCTGTCGCTCGGGGGGCTGGAGGGATCCGTCATGCGTTCCGTCCTGTAACGAGTGCAAGTTCTTTAAAGTTGGCTCTTGCCCCAGACTCGATACTGTCACACGAAAGCTTGGCTTTTTGATTTCCAGGGGGACCGTGTATCTGTCAGTGGGAGGGAGACAGAGCGGCACCTCCCACGAGGCGCCAGGGCGGGGTCTGCACGGAGGTATGCGCGGTGGCCTACGGGTGCGGTAGCAGGCGCTGACTCCAGCCCTGGGGGGAAGGGCGCTCGGAGGGCGGCTCCTGGAACCCAGAGTGAGCGGAGTTGCAGCCTGGGCTGGGGAGGCAGCCCCCCAACCACCCCTCACCCCCCAGGAGGGACAAATCCCCCAGCTTCTCTCTCCTCCCAGCCCCCAGCTCCTGCTGCCCTCCCATCCGCGAAACCCAGCCGGCAGCCTGAGGGTGGTGTGTGTGCATGTGTGTGCACACGTGCGTGTGCATGTCCGTGTTGCAGGACGTAATCCACAGAGGTTGGCCTCTTGGGGCACAGAGCAGCGTGGCGGAGGGGAGAGTGGCCCTGGGGGTCCGTGGCGCCATGCGTCAGTGCTGTAGGCTGGGGTCAGGAATAAGGCCAGGAAGGGTGGAGGCAGGGACCCCCAGGCCAGAACCCAGTCCCAGGAAGGCTGAGGAGACCCTCTGTCCATCATCGACCCTCCTGCCCTGCCCTTCTCCCCAAATTCTCACCCTAGGATCCTAGGCCCCCGACATGGCCCCTGGGGAAGGCAGAAGAGGCCTGGCCGTTAGTCCTGGCTCCACTTCTCAGTAGCTGGTGACTTTGAGCAGACCAAGAGGGGTCACTGTCACTTCCTCCCCGGGGAGTTAGGGGGATCTGACGATCTGATGTCCAGAAAGGGCCCTGTGCTGGGCGCTGAGGAGGCGCTTCTGAGCTGAGTTGCCTCTTCCCCTTCCCTTCCTGTTAGAAATAGCCAGGCTTTTAGAATTCCCGCTCCCACCCCAGGGTGGGTTTCCTCCCTGGTGCAGGAAGAGGCAACTGCAGAGCCTTCCTGACCCCGTCCTGGGAGGGCACAGCCCCACCCTCTGCCCAGGAGGCCGTGGGGTCTGCAAGGCTGCAGTCGCAGGTCCCGTGAGGCAGTTCACGGGGAGCCTGACCCTGCTTGGCTAGGCGACTCTGCCCTGCCCTGTGCCCTGAGGCCCTCACTCTGCAGCCACCTGGACTCTAGGGATGAACGCTGCCTCTGGTGGGCAAGCCTCCGCCCTGGTGATCATGACCGGAAGTTTGGGAAGCTGTGGGAGGGGCCAGGGCAGGACTTCGGGCGCAGGAGGTCTCCGGCAGGACGTGTTCAGCAGCAGCCCTGGCTTCCCTCGGACCTGACTGGGGTCTGGAGCTGGCCTCTGATCCTGGCTGCCTCTGTCCCCTTCACCAGGGGGCAGCTGGAGACCCTGCCCGCCCAGCTGGCAGATTCCTGCCAATTGCTGCTTTCATCTTGCTGGCTGCCCAGTGGGGCCTGCGCTTTCCCAACTTGTTAGGCACGGTGGGGCGGGCTACAATCAGAGGGGACAAGGCTCCCCACCCAGGACGAGCCCAAGGGAAGGAAGAAACATAAAGTCTTCCGTTTGGAGAGCATCCGTCTGGGGGCGGCTGGCCCCGGGCCATGGTGGCTGGATGGGGCAGGCAGAGTCCGAGTGCTGAGCCAGGGGACCGGCCCGCCTGCAGCGGGACCTCACACAGGGCACGGTGGAGGGTGGTGACAAGGTGGGATGGTGCCCCAGAGTCCCCAGGCGGGCGGGGACCTCAGGTAGGGAAGTTGGGGGAGGGGGTGGCCCGGGGGTGGGAGGGGCCCTGGTGGGGGACTTGCCAGGCTTGCCGTGTCCCCAGCATGGAAGGCAGACTGGTCCCCGCAGGGTGCGCCGGCCCCTCGTCCTGGGGAGTGAGCCCAGAGCTTGGCCGGGCAGGACGAGCCTCATCCCTCCCTCAGAGGCCACATGGAGTCCTGCGGCCCCCAGACTTCACCCCGCACAGGGGACACTAGCTCTGAGCCTTTGTCCCCTTCCAGAATTTGCTCTGTGGAGACACCTTTGCCCTCGGTCAGGGCAGGCTCCCCGGCTCCGAGAGTGTCGAAGGGACGTGGGGAGGGCTGGGGTGGGAGGGCAAGTGGACTCGGGATCCACCCTGTGCTGCACCTCAGCCCCACGTTGCCCGTCCGGCAAAGGCGGCGGGGTCTGTGTGGAGGGACCATGGGGGATTAGGAGCAGCGCCGCGTGCAGGACACGTGGGGGATGCTGTGGCTGTCGTTCCTTTTCCCTCACAGCTCCCGGGCCCTTGAGCCGGGGCTCCACGGCGAGCCTGGGGTGGCCACGGGTCTGGGATCTGCTCCAGACGGGCAGGCGTTCAGGAGGGGCGGGTGCCAGCCGGGTGTTGGTGGCTGAGGCGCTGACCGTTTGTGTCCCTGTCCCAGGCCCCACGTGTGTGCTGAGCAGGAGCTGACCCTGGTGGGCCGCCGCCAGCCCTGCGTGCAGGCCTTCAGCCGCGTGGTGCCCGTGTGGAAGCCCGGCTGTGGGCCACAGGCGTGGTGTGTCGGCCACGAGCGCAGGTACGTGCTGGGGACCCAGGGTCCGACGGGTGGGGCTCTGCTCACACCAAGGGCGGCACTGACCACATGGGGCTGGGGCCCCGTCCTGGTCTCAGGGTCCCCTGTACCCCCCTACCCCCGCCTCTGAAGCCCCTCCTCCGAGGACAAGGCCTCTCCTGGCCCCCTGGGGTGAGGCTGCCCTGGAGGGGACTCCCAGGCTGTGGCACTGTCCTGCTTAGCTGTGCACCCGGGCCCTTTGTGAGGGTGGGGGGACCCCGTGAGGAAGGAGGGGGCCCTGCAGGGGAGGGGCGCTGGCCACGTTGGAGGGTGAGGGGGTGCGCGTCCTGCCGAGTTCTGCTGGAGACACGCCCCCCGGCCTGGTTCCCAAGCCCGCGTGAAAGCTTTTATTGCTCAAGATTTTATTTCAAAATCAAACTGAAGGAGTGCCTTTGCATGCCTCTCCCCTTTTATAGACTCCGGTGCTGCCGAGCCTGCCGACGGCAGAGTGGGGTGAGGGAAGCTGGCGGCTGCGCCGTGTTAGGTGGAGGCTGTCGTGTGTCTGGGGGAGGGAGGCAGGAATGCGTGGCCTCAGATAAGGGTGTGTGTTCAGCTCCTCGGCAGGGCTTTGGGGAGTAGCCAGGGCCTGCTCCGCGCAGCCCCATGGGCGCGTGGTCCGTGTGGGGCTCCCACACCTGCTGCGCCTGCTCCTGGGAGCTGCTTGGGACGCGGCTTTCATGGCACGTGGGTTCGTGCTGCACGGTTCACAGGTGTTCGGGGTAGAGGAGAAGAAAGTGCATTTGGGCTGTAACAGTGGTTCTCAGCTGGGGCCGGTTCTGTCCTCCCCCGGGACGCTGGCAATGCCTGGGCAGGTTTGGCGGCTGAGCGGTGAGCCGGGAGGGCCAGGGGTGCTGCCCGGTGTCCTGCAGTCACAGGACAGCCCCTCCCCACCAAGCGACCCAGCCCCAGTGTCAGGAGAGCTGAGGTTGAGCGACCCTGAGCAAAAAGAAGAAATCTCCCCTCACCGTTTTCCCCCCAAACGTGCAGGTGGGTCCGACCTGCACACGCGTGTGGGTGTGTGTGTACTTACAAAGGGGAAATTAGGCCACATAAGCCACATCATGTCGACAACTCATAGCAGAAGGGCTACTTCTGGAAGCTGCCGGAAGCCACTGGGACCCCAGCTGGAGAACTCCCCGGGGCCGGCCACGCAGGTGACTCCTCGGCCTGCGGGTAGCTGGGAACTTTCAGCCTCCCGGCAGGGTGTCCAGGGCGTCAGCGGGGAACGTCCCACTGCGGAGTCCCAGCTGCCCAGCCATGTGTCGGCAGGGGTCCCCGGCACTGCTCGAGGTGTCTGGGACCCTTCAGCAACCCTCCCTCCCCAAGATGGCCGTTCTGCCTCGGCTTCCCTGGGGGGACAGCTGTCCCGTCCTCCCGGCTCTGGGGTGTGGCTGAGGTCCCCCTTCGCTCTGTTCTCACCCCGGCCAACCTGAGTCCTCTCAGCACCCTGTGCCCACGAGGTGCCCTGTGTGGTTCATTGGAACCAGCACCAAGTGGCGACGGGTGACCCGGGCTCACGTCCATGTTTCCTCTTCGTGTCCCCTCCCGGAGCTGAGTCCCGCTGTGCTCACCTGGAGGATGTTTCTCCAGATGTCCTGTCCAGATGTCCCCCCAGTAGCTGTCCCCTGCGGGCCCCGGAGCAGCTGGGGCTTCCTCCCGCCCCCCTCCCTGTGTGCCCAGACGGCGTGCAGCCTTCCTGCACAACCCCTTGGGAGTCCCTGTCCCTGACCCCGAGCCCCCAGCCTTGCCTGTTGCTCATGAGTCCCCAGTGCCTACAAGCCGAGTCCACGTGGAGCTGGTCGTGGCCCCCGTGTCCCAGCCGGGCTCTGGGCGGTGTGAAGGAGGTGGGCGCATGCCATCCCTCCTGCGTCCGTGGGGACAGCCTCCGCGCAGCCCCGCAGTGGTCCTGGACTTGGAGAGCCACTGCTGGGTCTCAGCGAGGGCGCCCAGCCCCGCCTCTGGGGAGGGTACAGGGTGGGCGGCCCGACAGGACCCCAGGAGCACGCTGGGCACAGACTGGTGCCGTGAGGGGGGCTGGTGCCCTGGGGGCTCATGAGTCTATCGCGGGCTCCGCCCAGCAGCCTGGTGATCTCAGCCTCTCTTCTCACCCGTGAGCTGGGCTGACAACCCCTCCCGTGCCAGGAGCCATGCCCAGGATGCCCTTCCCAGGCTGCCTGGCACGGAGCGGGGCTCGGAAGCTGGGTGCCCCCACGCCGGGCTGGGGGGCCCCACTGACATGGTCTGACTCCCTGGACACGCCTGCTCGGAGAGAGCCGGGTCTCAGGAGGGTCCAGCCGCCTGTGCTCGGCCGCATCTTCTGCATCCTCCACAAGGCAGCCACTAAGTTCTGTTTTCGAGATGAGGACGTTGAGGCCCAGAGGGTCAGACGTCGTGGCTGTGATCATACAGGGAGTGAGTGACAGGGTTGAAACGTCAACTGTGCTCTCTTTGACGCCACGGCCCGAGCGCTGGCTATGGAACACACAGCCCCTGTTGAACTCCTATTCATCCTTCAAAACCTAGCTCACATATCCCCTCCTCTGTGAAGCCCTCCCAACCTCTAGGAGCCCAGTGGCTGCCCTCACGTCCCTGCATCTCCCTACAGGGGGCCCCAAGGCTTGAAGGCCCCCAGGGAACAAGGAGCAGCTGGGTCGGCTCGGCTGGGGTGCGAGTAGCAGTGATGAGTCCCCGGGGAGGCGGGGCATGGCAGGGAAGGGGGCTGCAGTCCGCCTTGGCTCCGCAGAGTCAGCACCGGTTCAGGACCTGGCTCCAGAAGTGTCCCTGGGACTTGGTGGGTTCGGCCCAAGTGCAGCAGCTGCTTATCTCAGCCAGGGGCCAGGTGGTGGGGCCTTGTCCTCGAGTCCCCCCTGCAGGGCAGGGCAGGGGCTCCCCCGGTGCTGACACGAGGAACACCCATTGCTTCTGCCTGCTGCCTCGCGGCCTCGCGCCCAAGCTGGCACCACCCAAGCCCCTCCGTCGCTGGCGACGGCAGCCAGTGACCCAGCCTGCAAGGCCAGTGTGGGACTTGCGTGGCAGGTGCCCTGGCCAGGCCTGGAGGACGCCACGGATGTGGCTCTGCATGTTGGGCTTTGCCCGCTGCGTGGCAGTCCCAGCTCGTGTGGCTTCGTTGTCAGGGCCGGGTCCCCGCGTGCTTAGCTCACGGCTCCTCTTTATTTAGCGACCCTTCTCCACAGAGAACTCTCCAGTGAGTCGGAGCAAGTGGCTCCTGCCGCCGTGTCCCCTGCGGTCCGAAGGGCAGCGGGCCTCTGGCGCTGGGTCTGATTTCTGACCGGGGAAGCCGCTGCGGTCACAGGCCGGGCCGTGCCGGGTGCTGGGGGCTCTGTCTGGCCCAGAACAGGAGAGGCTGTGACTACACCTCAGAGGCCAGACGCGGCGCCCGGGGGTCTTGCTGTCAGTCCCAGCAGGTACTTCCGACAAGCCCGACGGCCAGCACCAGCCTTCCTAGGCTGGGAGCTCCTGGCGAGGAACGAAGTCCTTGAGAAGGGAGGGGGGCAGAGGGAGGGGACGCAGGGCATGGAGCCGCCACACCTGTCCCTCCCGCTAGGCACACTCCCTGCACTGCGGCCTCCGCTGTGGGACGGGGGCTGTGGAAGGCAGAGAAGTGGGCGCCGCGCAGGCCTGGCAGCCCCGTGCCCCACCCCTGCACCCCCAGGCCTGCGTGGAGCAGCTTGGGGGCCGCAGCCCGTGGGAGCTGGTGCTGGCTGCATGGGACCGAGGGTTTTCCTTGGGGGTCGTGGGGGCTCAGGCCGAATGGCCCTCTCTGTGGGTCTTTCCCTCTAGGGGGCTGGGGGTGGCCGTGACCCAGGGAGCGGCACGTAGCCCAGCGCCGCCGCAGCCGGGGAGGGGGGATAAATATTTACGACGCGAGGGCCGGCGCTCTCAGCGCTGCCAGATATTGTTCACCGCTGCGGTCGGTTTCTGTCCAGGCGAGTGGTTTCATGTCCTGCCAAAGTGGTGTTTTGCAAGGCGCTCCCAGAGTCGCTCTGTGTGCAGTGCGCACGCACGAACACACGCTTCCAGGAGGCGGGCCGCGGCTGGGCGCTGCCCTGCTCGTTTGTGGGATTGGGGTCCCCAGGACCACTCCGGCTTCCCACGCTCCAGCCGGGAGGTGTTTTGTTACCTGGAGACGGCCGCTCCCAGGGCTCAAGGGCCCTTGACCCAGTGGCTGTTGGCCAGACCCCTGGTCACCGTCCCTAGAGACAGCGGCTGGGGGTGGGGAGGGCTGCCAGCTGTAGGAGGCTGCAGGGCAGGCCCTGGGATAGCCCGTCTTCCAGTCCTCTGGGTCTGCCTCTGCCTGCCTCCCTCTGTCTCTCTCTGACTTTGTCGCTCACTGCCTCTGCCTCTCTCTTTCTCTGTCTCTCTCCGTCTCTGACTCTCTCTGACTCTCTCTCTGTCTCTGTCTCTCTCTCCCTGTCTGTCTCCCTCCATCCTCCCCCCACCGCCCGCATCCTGCCGCTGGTTCTGTTATTGTAGAAACAAAGGCCTTGTCGCCAGGGGACTTGGGCCGGTGCCAGGCCATGACCGGGTATGAGTTTCCTGCCGCTGCTGTAACAAATCCGGACAAACCAGGGGCTTGGAAACAGCAGGCGTTTGTCCTCTCTCAGCTCGGGGGCCAAAGGCCTGAGACCGAGGTGTGGGCAGGGCTGGCTCCTGCTGGAGGCCACGAGGCAGCACCTGTCCCCAGCCTCCCCCCAGCTCCTCTCGCTGCCACAGTCCTCAGGCCGTGGCTGGCAGACGCATCGCTCCAGTCTCTGCCTCTGTCCCCACGTGGCCGGCTCCTGTGTCTCTGTGTCCGAATGTCCCTCTTCTTCTAAAGACATCCGTCGTCGGGTTAAAGCACACCCTCACCCAGTGTGACCTCACTTTAACTCAATAGGTTCAGCAAAGACCTTATTTCCAAATAAGGTCACGTTCCAGGTGGACCTGGATTTGGGGGACGTTACTCACTGCTGCACAGCAGGGAGAGACGGGGCGTCGCGCCGTGGGCAGTTGACCGCCGTCTTGCTGGCCCTTAGAGCCAGGGGAAGTCGGTCAGGGAGGGGCAAGTCCCTAGTGTCGAGTGTTGGGGCTCCCGGGGTGGGGAGGGGAGGCGGGGTGCCGGGCACATCCTGTGGCCGTGGTGGCCCCTGCTCTGTGGAAGCAGGAGAGGAGCTTCCCAGAAGGGCAGAGGCCCCCCTGAAACCCGCAGCCCGGAGGAGGAAGAGCAAGGAGGAGGAAGAGCAAGGACGCGGTAGCCCTGGGCGGGGGTGCAGCGGAAGGAGCCTGCGGGGGCCTTGCGCGGCCGCCCTCCCCCCACCTGCTCTCAGCTCGGGTTTGCAGCTGCAGGGCGAGCCCAGGGCAGCGGAGGCAGGTCCCTGCCAACTGCTCCGCCAAGACTGCCCGCCTCGGGGGCTGGCGACGTCTGCAGATGCGGCGTCGGGGCTGCGTTGGGTGCAGGGTAGGCCGAGCTGGCGGGGCCTCTGTGGGCCCCACGGTGCTGGCGGTCTGGGGCAGCCTCTGGACTTGGGGAGGGGGACGGATGGGAGGACCCCACCCTTCAGGCGAGTTGCTCCTCTCTGGCCATGGGCGCCTGAGCCAGGAACCAGCGACGCAGCCCCGGGAAGCCCTCCCTCCTGCCCACCCTGGAGTCGCCCCTCTGACCTGGGCACACACGGGGTCTCTCCTGCGCTGCCGTAACGGCTTCGGCTCATTGGTGGGCTGAGCGCCTGGGGATCTGAACCCACCCAGCCCGCGCTGGGCACCTCGAGCCCGTTTGGCTCATTCCAGAAGTGATTCTGGCTCCCAGGCTGGGCCCCTCCAGTCTGACTCCCCCAGACCCCCCCAGACTGGCCTGGTGCTAAGAGCCAGGTGAGGGGCCAGCTGTGCGTCTCGACCCCAGACCCCAGCTTGGAGCCGGGACCACCGTGGGAGGGGCTGGGCAGAGGCCGGGGGCAGCGCGCTGCTGGTGAGTGGGTGTGGGGCCGTCGTTGCCGGCGGCAGGATGGCCCATGCTCCTCACTCATGAGGTTCGGGGCCCGCCCTGGGCTGCAGAGGACCCCCCCACACCCTGCACTGGGCACCTAGGCCTCAGTCTGCCTGGCTGGGAAATGGGATGATGCAGAGTCAGTCCCCGAAGCTGGCGGTTGCCAGATGCGCTGGTCCTGCGATGGTGAACACTTCCCTTCTCCCTTCTTTTCTAGAACCATCTACTACATGGGCTACCAGCAGGTCTATGCCATGGAGGCCCGGACTGTGTTCAGGTGCTGCCGAGGGTGGACCCAGCAGCCTGGCGAGGAGGGTTGCCTCTCACGTGAGTGCCTGCGCCCCGCCCCCCGCTGCCTACCTGCCACCCACAGAGAGTCTCTGCGCCCCCGGGTGCCCCTTCCCCCAGCAGCACCAGACCTCCCAGGGCCACGCATTCAGCCACTGCGCCTGCCACAGGCTGTGAAAATGAAATAATAAAAAGAAGGAGCAGGGAGTTTCCCCAGGGCCAAGGCTGTCGGGAGCCGCGGAGAGAGAGCTGGGGCTGGTGGGGGTCAGGTGGCTGCGTCAGCTCCACCGGGGGTGTCTGAGCGCCTGGCATCAGGGAGGATCCGAGGGGGCCCTGGGCTACGTGTTGGTGCCCGTGGGCTCAGGCATCTCTGAGCTGGTTCGGAGTCCACCCGCCGCACCACGCTCAGCCGGGCTCTGGGGGCCTTCTGGCTGCTGCGTTTCCGGAAGGGGCCAGGCAGAGGGCAGCTGCTCCACGCTCCCCGGCCAGTCAGGGCTGGGCAG